GGAAACTGCACACAAAATCATTAAACCTAACACATTAACATGGGCCATCAAAAGCTTTCTCCCATTTAAAGCAGCGGGACTGGATGGCATTTTTCCAGGCCTACTGCAATAGTGTGATGAGTCGATACTCGAGCATCTACTACGCATCTATACAGGATGTCTAGCTTATCGGTACATGCCCACCAAATGGAGAAAGATGAAAGTCATCTTCATACCAAAACCAGGCAAAAGTGACTACACGCAACCTAAGGCATACTGACCAATAAGCCTCACATCATTCCTCCTAAAGGTACTACTGGAGAGGATGTGTGACAGAGACCTGAAGTATGATGCCTTACAACGAGTACCACTACATGCAAATCAACATGCCTACAGCATGGGCAAATCCGTTGACTCCGCATTACATAACGTAGTGAAGCAAATATAAAGCGGACTATTACCAAAACAATCAACGCTGGGAGTCTTTATTGATATTGAAGGCGCCTTCGACACAAACTAACTTTACCAGCAATAGCCAAGCAGTACAAGTAACTGTGAACACTACGAAGAGAGCTGCAGTGGCTCGGGGTTGCCCACAGGGAGGAGTTCTGTCTCCTCTCCTGTGGAACATTGTAGTGGATAAATTAATTTGCCAGCTCAATCAACGTAACTACCACATAGTAGGCTATACAGACGACATAGTGATTCTCATAAGCAGACCATTCCAGAATGTGCTGTGCAACTTAATGAGTAATGCTCTCAAACTAGTCGAAAACTGGTGTATTGAACACCAACTATCGGTGAATCCGACCAAAACAAGGATGGTCATGTTCACAAAGAAACGTAACTTGGATGCTGTTTAACTGCCCAAGCTATATAACACGGAACTGTCACTGTCTAACGAAGTCAAATATCTAGGCATAATACTTGACCATAAGTTGACATGGAACAGTCACCTATACCATAAGATAAACAAAGCCTGTATGACATTTTGGCAGTGTAAACTGCTTCTCGGTAAAACCTGGGGTCCAAAAAGCACCAAAAATCACACAAAAGGGCTTTATAATACCATAATCTGACCACTCATCACGTTTTCAAAGACTTGCATGCTCAGCAATTACAGACTGCATGAAATCGCCCGCACACCGACAAACGCCCTAGAAATAGCGCTGGACCTACTGCCACTTGATCTGTTCATACAGCAAGAGGCAACAATGGCAGCGCTAAGAATGTATCATCTGGGCCTATGGACGGGAAACCAAGGACCTCACTCCAAGATTTTGGAAAGGGCTATACAACACCAACCTCTTGTAACAGACCGCTGTGACAAAATCCCGACTATACACATATTTGATAAGAAATATCAAATAGAACAACATTGCCACCATTTCAAACGCAAAATCAAACGAAGAATCATAATATTAAGCCGTTCCTTAAAAAACTGAAAAGATTAGTTTATGAAATTTCTCTCTTCCATTTTCTCTCAGAAAATAGCACTGTTTTTAATTAGCTTTGCATAAATAGGCAAGTTTCGATTAACGTATACCCAGGGGCGGCCCTAGGGCGGTGCGAGCGGTGCGACCGCACCGGGCGCCGTCATAATATGGGGGGCGCCGAAAACTGCCGAACGCCCGACTAGGTACCGATCGACTTATGCGCAAGCAAATCGTATTGTTGTCCGGCGAGTAGCGACGAGCGACGAACGCGGAGGCGGTGAGGGGAAAAGGTGTCCAAACCAGAATTCTGAACCAATACCCTCGAGAATTTTTTAACCCATGTGGCTGTCACAGCTTGAATTTGGTGGTAGCAGATGCAGCTAAATCGGTCTCTTTATGTGGATTTCTCCAAAGATTATTTGTAATATTTTCTGGATCAATGAGGTGGGAAGTCATATCCAAACACATAGAAGGACTATCACTGAAAAAAGTTTGCGAAACTCGCTGGGAGAGTAGAGTTTCTAGCCTTGCTTCTGTTCGCTACAATTACTGTTCAGTTCGTGATGCTCTTTTGAATCTTCACGAAGAAAATAATGCTTCAGTTGCAGAATATGGTGCAATTAGAATTTTTAGTTACATTGGTGGCTCTGTATGATATATTGTTTCAAGGAAACATTGTACAAGTAAAGCTATGCAGTATGAAACTATGGATTTATCAAACGCATCGCAATTGCTGAAAACTGCTCGAATGTGTGAAACAGTACCGGACTTATTCTCCTGCTCAAATAACAGCTAATGCAATAGCTTCTGAGGCTGGTATAGATTCCACGTTTAGGCCAGTCCGATCCCGGAGAAAAAAGCGATTATTTGAGTATGAAGCTGCAGATGAAACATCAACAGATCCCGAAGAACTGTTTAAAATTAACGCCTTTTACCCTATGATAGATACAATTGAAAATGCATTGGTCACTCGGTTTGGACAATTATCCAAATTCAATGATAAATGGTCTTATTTGTATAACATCAAAATAATTCCTGATAAGTCTTTATTAGAATAAGCCTGTGCAGATTTGCAAATGATTTTAACCGATGGGCAAAATGGTGACGTGTCTAGTTGCGAATTAGTTGAAGAACTTTTGAGCCTGAATCCATTATTAAAAAAACGTGAATCAGCAGAGCCAATAAAAGTTCTTACATGTACGTATTAACAAAATGATTGGCAGGATATTTTCCCGAATGTGTGGACAGTGCTTCAGATTCTCTGACCATCCCTATAACTGTCGCCAAAGGTGAACGAAGCTTAAGTAAATTAAAACGTACTTACATTCGACAATGTGTCAAGAAAGACTGTCAGATCTTACAATTCTATCAATAGAAAATGACATTGCCTAAGGATTGAATTATTCCGATTTAATAAAAAAATTCGCAAGCGCAAAGGCAAGAAAAGTGGTTTTCTAGTTTCTAAGAGTTTTTAATTAAATAAATATAGTCAAACTAATATTTTGTCCATTATTCTCTTCTTAACAAAAAATTGACACGAAATAAAGAACATAAATGTAAAATTAATTGAGTATGTTATTTTTTTCCGTGTCTATGTAAACTGGGGCGCCACCATAAGATCTCGCACCACCGAAAAGTTTAGCTAAGACCGCCCCTGCGTATACCCATCGACCATTTAATAGAATAGTTGTAATTACCTCTTGCTAACAATTTCTTCTACGAAATCTTGCATGCGATCATCTATTTTCGCTAGAGTACCTCCATAGTCTTCAGGGAGCTCGTCTTTACTAAAGTAGTTGTATAGCGTATCAGAATTCGGTGTATGAAAATGCATCTGAAACAAAAATAAAAACTGCTTTATACTGGGTTTTTAGAAGTGCTAACGACGAGGCCGAGTCTAGCCCGCTCGCCTCTCAGTCATAGAAGAAGTACATAAGTGGACGGTGGCATTACCAAGAGATTCCTTGAATTAAGTTTAAAATATAGATCTTTTTATGTAAAGTGAAACTTTCCATACATCACAAAAGAACGTTCATCTTTATTTAGCATGTCACATTATATTTTTAATTGTCATTAAAAAATGGAACCTTATCAACTTAAAAAATATATTTTGTAAGATTCACTTGCATCGTGGTTTTTATAAAACCACACCATTTTTTAAAGCTTTTATTAAACTTGCAATATATGTATGTATGTATTTTCAGGTGGAATCTTGCAACTGAATTTTGAAGCAGATGTCTTCATTAGATTGAGCTGAAATTTGTACTGGAATCTCTGTACCGGACGGCGGCGGCGGACTAGTTAATTTTTATGCACTCGTACAATATGGGTATCGAATGAAAGAGCTTACTACGAATAACTTGAAAAATATAGTGAAGTCACCTTATATCGAATATGGCGGACTTAAAAAGATGGCGGACTAAGATTTTTATACTTTCGTCTACAATATGGGTATCAAATGAAAGTACTTGCTTAGAATATGGGGTTTTAGAAGTCCTTCATTATATCCAGCGATAACTAAAAAGTAAAAATAATGTTTTAAAAACAAGCTTTTATATAAATGCGATAAAAAGCCTATAATAAAATTTTCCTTTCAAACTTTTGCTATAAACTTATAACCTCATTACACAATTAAATAAATAATATAAAAGCTTGTCGACAGATTTAAGTAGGTACTGGTATAAATTGTGTAATGACGTTTTAAGTTGGTAGTAAAAGTTCAAAAATTTTTTTTTTAGTTTTTAAGGAAATTTTTATTTTAGTCTATAAATAATAGTAAATTCATTACTTAATAAAAAATGTCGGGATTATTGTAACTTTAATAAACATAATAATTATGGAATGTCTATATAATGAAGTTAAATAAAAGCTTGTTTTTAAAAAAGTTTTCAATTAATTTTATTTTTTTAAATTAAGACTGCAAAAGAGAAGTGCTCTATGGCTCTTTATGAATAGGGACATTATTGACTAAATGTGATCGGCAAATAGTGTATGTAATATTGTTTATAGCACAGTGTGACCTAAACCCGCACTTTACGCACGCTTTTCCGTGACCTAAGTTGCCTATTTCTGCACGGTGTGTAAATGAATTGACCAACTGACGTATCGTAATACGCGTAACTTAACTTTACTATGCCAATCAAGGAATAAACGTTCATGGATACATTGAAATTCTATTTTGTTGTAATGATATTTGATTTTTTCCTTTTGAAATATACTTTCAAAATGGTAATCTGAACTGGAATTCTTTCTTTTCAGAGTTTGACTTGCAGTCTGTATTGCAATTCTTTGTGATTGCAATACATGAATTTTACTTTCAAAATACTAATCGCATCCCTCGCCCTTGCCCGCGTCCGGGGCGGGTTTATGTCACACTTGCTATAAAATAGTATACGATACTTGTGGCCTAAGTTGTCTATTACTGCACGGCGTTTAGCACCCTCGTTCCGCTCGGGCGCTAACTTCACGCCGTGCAGTAATAGGCAACTTAAGTCACGCGTATCGTAATGTACTATATTTTATTAAAGTTAATCATAACTTTTGATTATTATCAGAATTAACGATTTGATTTAGTTTAGTATCATAAGCCTTGATGGGCCCATCAAGGCTTAAGATAGCAATCCTATTTTTATAAATGTTATATTTTGTATATATATTTGTTACTAAATGATGCAAAAACTACTAAATAATAAGTAATAAGTATCCATATAATTTATGACCTGGATTGAGACATAGGATAGGTACTTGTGATCCCACAAAAATGTTACGTGGGTGTTATGTGGGATTAAAAAAAACTAAAGATAACGTGTATGATCAAGAGCTTACCCAATTTTTTTTCAAGATTTTACTTATAACTTTTAAGATAAGCACAATGTCCAGTCATATCTAACAGGAGAAAAGAAAGTAAAAATCTTTAAATTACTAAATACTAGCAAACCCGGCGAACTCCGTTTCGCCACCAGATGGCTTCGTTTTATGTAACATTTCGTTTGGTGATTAAAAGAAGTTTTTTTTTTAATTTTTCCTGAACTTTCTTTGCTGTAAACCTCACGAAGCCCGAGACCTTTCCAACGAATGCAAAACCGTGGAAATCGGTTCGTGCGTTCTGGAGTTATAGCGTCAGGAAGGAAAACCCGACTTATTTTTATATAGTAGATAATGCGAATAAATTTATAAGTATTTGCAACAATACTAACCATATCCGTTATTTCTTTCTTTAAGAATGGTTTTATCCAAGTAAACAATCTGTCTATGAATGGCGGAGTATTCACAATATGTATTTGCTTTAATCTAACCGGTAACGCCTCCTGCAAAAATTAAACAAAATGAAGTATTATTTTTTATCACATAGCTAAATTATACGTAAAACATTAAAATAAATAGTTAATATAATATGAGGAACAAAACGGTATAATTACGCATCTGGTCAAACTACTTTCTTTTTACAGTCCGGAGGTTTTAGGCCCTCTGAATTTGTATCTCAACTCATTTTGTATTCAAAACAGTGTTAAAGTTACTAAATTTATAAATATAAAACCATGCCACAAGCTCACTGTAGGTATGCCATTCAGTGTTTTACAGCTCCTGTGAAAATTTATTTTATGTTATTACATAAGTATATCGTTTTGTTCGCCATCTCCTCATATAATATAAATTTGAGAAAAGTAAGATTAGGTGAGAGAAATGAAAATAAAATGGAAGTAGAGAGGTTGCTGAGGATCTTTTTCCCCCGCAAACCGGACAAATTGGTGAAGTTATAAATTACCCATAACATAAATCAATTCCAAAACAAGCTTTAAATATTCAATGAACTATCGAGGAACCGAAAAAAATGTGGTAGCGCGGTAATAATTAATCGTAGTTCTACCTAAACCCCTGACCTTTGCACCTATAAATAAATATAAAAAACAACAATAAAATTACATGACACGAAATAAGACCCACTTAAGCCTTTAATAATAATAACAATGTTTCAGTATTTAGGAGTATGTCGAAATTAGGTACTCCACAACAATGGTAGAATAACAATGCATTGTCATGATGACAGAGTTTAGCGAAGCCAAAAAAATTACAAAATCATTAGGAAGTACTGACGTAGAACATGTCCCGCGTATTGTCCTAAATATTATCGTACCTGCATATATTATATTTTTATTTATTATGAAAATTACTTCACGAGAACATTATAGGATTGTAAACCGTTAGATGGCTATGAGAAGAAGGAAGATAGATGCTTCTTCGTGTTTAAAAGTTAATCTGACCCAACGCCCACAAATAATAATAATACCTATAATGTACATGTAATAGAAATTATTTAACTTATAATTTTTATTATTTTTAAAGCATGTAACTGCTTGATGTTTAAATCTAAAGAAAATATAACTAGAAAAAAATCCACGCGGACCAGGCAGCAGACGGGACTCGAACCCGCACCCTTCGCAATCCGGGCGAATGCACTGACCAATTATGCTACCGCGGCCCTCACGGACCGCGTCGAAATTCTTTCTAGCTATTCTTAAGCTGCAAGGCAGCGCCATCTCTTCGCATTCTAGGTAAACCCACAATGTCAAATGAATACTTTTTACAAGTATTAAACATTTGAAAGAAGAAATAGCAATAATAGTTATAATTTTTATTATTTTTAAAGCATGTAACTGCTTGATGTTTAAATCTAAAGAAAATATAACTAGAAAAAAATCCACGCGGACCAGGCAGCAGACGGGACTCGAACCCGCACCCTTCGCAATCCGGGCGAATGCACTGACCAATTATGCTACCGCGGCCCTCACGGACCGCGTCGAAATTCTTTCTAGCTATTCTTAAGCTGCAAAATAATAAAAATTATAACTATTATTGCTATTTCTTCTTTCAAATGTTTAATACTTGTAAAAAGTATTCATTTGACATTGTGGGTTTACCTATAATGCGAAGAGATGGCGCTGCCTTGCAGCTTAAGAATAGCTAGAAAGAATTTCGACGCGGTCCGTGAGGGCCGCGGTAGCATAATTGGTCAGTGCATTCGCCCGGATTGCGAAGGGTGCGGGTTCGAGTCCCGTCTGCTGCCTGGTCCGCGTGGATTTTTTTCTAGTTATATTTTATTTAACTTACTTAACTAAGACAAAAAATACTTAGATTAAATCCATCCTTAGTCTACCATCAAGTGAAAGGTGATTAGATGACAATTTCTTATCAATTTTAATTTTATGAAAGTAAGGTGAAGTTGTATCGGGATCAACAGATTTGTGCAGCCGACTGCTCATTTCATCTCCTAAGTCTGCAACATGTTTCCTGCCACGTATTTTTACCTGCGTTATCATGTTCGGTTTGCGATCGTGTAAGTTAGCAATAGTTAATAGTTAGCGGAGATTTTGGGATTTATCTACTTGAGCGCGGCTGAATAACATAAGGGGAGTTAGGAAGGAGGGGACCTTGCACTTTGTGCAGTAGTCCCTTCAACGTAGTTGAGCCCTTTATATGGGATCGAACGTCTAGGTCACAACAAACGACCATGGCTTTTGGTCGCCTCTAAATCGTCAGTCTTTTAAATAGGAGCTACTGGAGAGTTCACGTTAAGTTACAGAATAACGTAAAGGGTGCCTCCCAAAATCCCCGTTTGGGCTACCACTACAATTGTCACAATGACCGGCCAGAGGATGAATTACCAAAATTTATTTTCTCAAGCTCCTCTGTGCTTTGAAAGACACGTTACGCCGTTGGTCCCGGTTGCATCTGCAGACGTTCATGCAAACTCCCTATCTCATCCATAGGGAGGAAGGCTTGTGTTCCAGCAGAAGGAACATTAATAGGCTGATCATGTTAAAGTATTGTGCAACACCCGTCGCACGGGATATAAAAGTACGAGGTGGCCCAAAAGTAATCATCCAATTTTGTTTTGTGAACCTAACTTTTTTACTAAATAAAAAACATGATTTTGAGTGATGTAAATCTTTATCGAGGACCTTTAATTTATTTTGTTAAGGGTCTTATAAGTAGAACTAAGATCTTGATCTCTTAGAACTGAGGCTTGTTGGCATAAATCCAAGACTTCAAGAAGCCCCAAAAAAAGGAGTCTGGGATAGTTAAAACGGGCGATTTGCTGGCTATGCCAAATCGCCAAAATTAAACCGTGCTGTGCGTGCAGTAGCACCGTCTTGTTGAAACCGCACATGTTCACGCTTCTACTCCTATATCGTGGTCCATTGCTTGTCTGTTTGTATTCTGCATCTGTCTAGTTCACACAATAATCAAATATGATTGACAAGCGACGCTATATGCAATAATTTTAACATATAGAAGTAACTCGCTGGCCAATGACTGGTAAAAATATTTTTTTTGTGGGTCTTAGGTTGATTTCACATTTTCCTTTTTTACCTTTATAATTTTTTCCAAATATCAGATATAATTTATAAAAGGAACAAGAGTTCGTTTTATAAGATATAAGGTCGTGATAGTGAGATAGTTGTTAATAGGTTCACTTAAACTGTTTTAAAACATTTATCTTTGTTGCTGCATAAGTTTAAACATACGCGGACAGTTTTTAGCTTTGATTTTGTATGCAACTCGTTATCTATAGAATAGGGATGATGACTATTTTTTTTTCTTCGTTTATCAGGTAGATTATCAAAAAGTAGTGGACACGTATTTTTTCTTCTTTCACATAATATAAACATTGCAGAGATATATTGATTTGAAAAGTCGCATGATGTCACGTTTTAGTGCACTTTTAAGTGAAAATTCACTAAAAAGTGACGTCACGAGCCCCTACTCCCAAACTTTGACGCGCTTTAACTTTATCATTTTTTGGTTGATTGCCCAAAGAAAAACTACGTGTCCATTATTTTTTGATCATCTAACTGACGGACTAAAAGAATTTCGTTTACTGTACCCCGTCATCACCCCTATTGTTGATCGAAGCATATTCCGATAGATGGATTACTTTTGCGGCAACCTGTATAACAAACAGGTGATAAGTGTTATCGTTCACCTGCTGATACTTTATCATCCTTCTGGCTATAGAGAAACTAAATTTGCTATAAAAAAATCTGAGCGACACAATATCCTTGGTGTCAGTCAGAATGATATCCTCGTCCTCCAACACATCATCGAACAGCAACCACATGTCAGTGATAATGAAGAACATCTTCGCGTCCTGGAACGAGTCGAAGTTCAGCATGCCAGGGTCATCGAGCTTCCATATCCATAGCTTCCTGTTTCTCGGCAGCATGATCTGAGCTTGTTTTCTGTAATTAAATAAATATAATACATTACTGTAAATCCAAAATGTAACTGAGAAGAAAATTAGTACACGAAGAAATTAGTACACGAAGCTAACTTTTGAACTTTAAAAGTTAGTTATGTCATTTTATGGATAGTTTTGTAGACGGTTGCTGGGCTGGAAAACTATTTTGATTGAATAGGTTATTTGACAGCATAAAAAATAAAGTATACGTACCAATTTTGGCTTGTGTATTTAACATGCATATTCGGAGCAATTTTACTATTCTGACAGAAAAAAGTAAAATTTGATCTATTGTCACGTGACCGAAAACGTCTATGCTTGGCAGAGTCTAAATGACGTCACGTGCCTGTGGACATCCTAACGTGTGCTTATGTGTTTTCTGGCAAGGTGGTACAGTTTTGATGATTTGTCAACACTGCCTAAAGGTTATAATGTTAAATTATTCGGGTGTGTTCATGCTGTGCATGACTTCTCTGTAAATTTAAGTATTTTGGGAAAGATCAAAGGACTCTATGGGTAAAAATAGAATATTATCGGCCGAAGTTTGTCTTTGGAATGTTTATATGTAAGACCTTTGTTTCTGAGTCAACATAATACCTGCGTTCGGAACCAAGGTTTATTTTAATACTGTGATCACGACCTTCGGCATTCGGTATAGCTTTTTTGGGTTAGGCTCTCGTTAATAATAACAAGAAAACTTTAGCGCATGAGTACTTACTATTAAATAACATCATAATTATTTACATAATAATTCCTAAGGTTTTGGATCTTAGGTTCCATAGCCACATTACATGACTGACTGACAGTCATTTAATTTAAGCACCAAACACATACATTTTCAACCTACTTAAAAAAGAAGGAGTTTCTCAATTCGGTCGGTATGCTTTTTTTATACATTTGTCCCGATTATTCTGAGATTTCTGATCCGATTTACGTCATTCTTTTTTTGTCCAATGCGGAATAGTGGCCATTTGGTCCCACAAAAATTTGATTTATTCTGGCCCAGTAGTTTTTATTTTATGAGCATTTAGTTAACTTGGACGATGAATTTTTTCTAACTCAAAGGACAAGGAGTATATAAGCTCACAGAAGTTAGATAATACTTACAGGAAAGTAAACATTTTCTGGACCTGCGGTGACAGTGGGTCCCTGTCACACAGCAGCTCGGGACACTGTTCTCGGACTGATATGAAGATTTTGAACGCGTTCTTCGTCTTCTCCAAGTCATAGTGGCAGCCATGCAAAAACCGCCTTAATAGTTTGTCCTCTGAAAAATAATGGCACAGCGATGAGGTGCTTTATGATTTCAGGATTAAAGTATATTTTATAACAACTTTCCTAATTATTATCATATCGTTCATTGTTAAACTGAATTAAATATATCCTTGTCACTAGGTATAAGTAACGAATCCTGCTATTATTATACATATATGTGAAAGTTTGTATGTGTGTGTTTGTATGTTTGTTACTCAATCACGCAGAAACTACTGAACGGACTTTGATTTGGATGAAATACTTTTTATCCCGGAAAATGAAAGGCTTCTTAAGGCTTCTAAAAAAATTTTGCTAACGCGGACAAAGTCGCAGACGGCCGCTGGTTTTCAAGTTATGGCATGACTAAAGGAAATATGTATTCATTTTTATATGTGGCTTGATTATTTTATAGCCAAAGGTAGTATTTGTAGCTCTAAGCAAATCAATCACAATATGCATATATGTTATGGGCTATGTGATTAATCGGCCATTATTCATAATGGCCGGGCAATATGAATAATGCCCAATAAGAGCGGGCAATGTGTTTATAACCAATCAATTTATCACATTGCCCGGGCATTATAAATAATGCCCAGTGCCTATTGGGCAGAGTGATGTAAAGCATGTTTAATACTTTCAAATGAATACTTAGTTAGATAGACCGAGCATTACAAGTAATGAAATCAATTATCGGGTAGAGTAATAATAAAAAAATGATTTATAGTTTAGTATTCATTTTTAAAATTTAAATAATCAGACTTCGGTTTTATTTCGATCAATTTACGAAGGGCTACATTTAGAAACTATAGTAGTCCATAGTGGTTTCAATGCAGTTTGTTTGAAAAATTCTTTAAATCTGTTAAATGTTCAGAATTTATGGTTCCCTATTTTTTAGGATGCAAGGAATAGGGAACTAAGAACCAGTACTTCTGCCTTATCTCCGGCGCTGCGGGAATAGCAGCCCCTCCGCCTTGCGTGACAAAGTCACAAGCATCACCTCCGGCGGCGACCAGCCTCAGGCGCTACGGGTTGCACGATGCTTGCGGCTTTTGTCACAGCAGGCAGGGGCTGCTCTTCCTTCGCGCCTCCGGGCTCTAAAAAATACTCTAGAGGTAGGGCAGACCAAAACCACGGCGTGTGGGGGTAGACCAAGTCGGTTCTGAATTAAAGACTGTTGTAAAGCCACATTTACTTTTTTTTTGTAAGTTTTGAGCCCATACTATTTTTTATTTACCAAGATCTCAAAACAAACACAAAATGGCGAGACATCTGCCATTTTGGCAATAGTACCAACGTTTTGAATTTATTCATACTGCCCGGTCCAAGCGATAAATTCAAGCTTTCTAAACACTGACTTATTACATGGACCACGAGCCGTCCAGCATTATTAATAATGGCCGGGCAATGTGATAAATAGGTGAGTTTAGATTGTAATTAATCACTTGGCCCGATATGGCTGGGCATTATTCATACTGCCCTGGCATTATGAATACAGCCCGCATTAATCACTTGGCCCATAACATATACATTAGACAGTTATAAAGGGTTCTACAATGCACGCCACAAAAAAAAAGTTAATGTATACGTACCAGCAGCAAGCAACCAGCCAAGCTATAACCTTACAGAGTTTCGTATTTGCCTTCTGGGTTAATTTTTTTTTTAAATAATACGCACGGAGGTCGTCGATGTTTAATCAGGTATAAGTGGACTCCTGTCGTCAAGATAGATGATGCGGCAAAAACTATGCCATTCTAGCCATCCTTACCTAGCCGGCCTAAACACAACCCCCTACACCGCGGAGCCCTGGAACCCTACTCACCAGCATTAACACAACACCACCAAAAGGTAGTGTTACTTTACTTTGATTTTCTGTAAGGTGCAAGTTACTTCCTCAGACGAGCGCTCCAATTCGAACGGAAAATCCACTGTGCCCTACTTCTCTTAAGTAATGAAGTCTCTAAAACTTCTTAATACATAATTAGTATTTACACATACCTAAATCATTTGGCAGTTGTGGCTGTGTATTTATCCACTTCCTAAATTTCTTCACTAATTCATTTATTTCTTCAGGAGTCTTTTCAGCCATTTGTTAAAACGCTGCAAAATAAATATTTATAATGTATATTATAGGTATGATTTAAATTCACAAAAAATACTTAGCATCTACTAATAATGCCTATGGGTGAATCTTGGGAGGTTCAGTTTTCGCTGTACGGAAGAAAAAAGTACCCGTAATATGAAAACAAGGACCAAAAATACTTGTTTTATGCTACTATAATGTATGATCTGAGGCACGATAATTATTGTGTCTTATTTTGGTAGCTTGAAATAGTAAAAAAATAGCCTAGAGGCCTAATATTATTCATCCCCTGGCGCGTCCGCTGCACATTTTATTAAATATATAATGCATTTTAAGCTATTGCATATTAGTTGATGATTTATGAAAAAAATATATAATGTAAACATTTCTCATGATTTTATTTAGAATTAAGATATAAACTCTGTCTGGGGCTAAACGATGATTCCACTGGCGCGTCACAATACTTCCCTTGTGAAATGTTCTAGTCTAGAGGAGTGCTTCCACTTTGTTGCGTGAGCTCTAGTAGTGCTTCACGCACTGCTGCGGTGTGCTATGCTGCTCGTTGGTCCAGAACAAAATTACAATGGTAAACATTTGATACCCCTGGTTTTGTTTCACTAGATTGTTGATTACCCTGACCACTTTTAAAAATGTTATTAGATTTTTAGTTCGATGTTAACACAATAGCTTTATGTTACCACTGTTTATATATTTTATTCAATATATAAAAAAACTTTTTTGTCGATTGTTGTTTTTTCTCGATTCGGAACCAGTCGGCCAAAAGTGATGGTTATTCGAAGTAAAATTTCATGTTTCCTTATTACTTGTAAAAATGAATTGCGCCAAGGGAATCAACGACGGAATAATCGGAATCTCAAGATTGGCCCCTACAAATACACTAAGTCGCAGTTTCGGATGTTAATGTGAGTGATCGAGAAGGTGGCATCTGTTCCGTGGCATGTACCATCGCAAATCTTTTTTGTAGACTTTTTTATGGTGTACAATACTGTAGTACATTATTTTGAGATATCTCGTAGGGATCAGGTAGCGTTCGCAATGTAAGCTTAAAAAATGTGTTTATTTACGGCATCACATTAGAAACCTCTAAAATTATCAATGTGTCTCTACTAAGTATATTATGCATAAATTATACATAAAAACTTTCCTCTTGAATCAATATACCTATTAAAAAAAGGAACAAAATCCGTTCCGTAGTTTTAAAGATCTATGCATACATAGGACAGACAGACAGCGGAAAGCGACTTTGTTTTATACTATGTAGTGATTTTTTCGCACCATACAAATGTGTATTTGTATTTGTGAAGTATCCATATTATTTTCATAGTTTCCTCGTATTTTTTGCCTTTTATCCTTTTTGTTTCATACTTACTTGTCAGGTGTTAGGCACAGAAGACGTATTTGAAAAAATTTAAATATTATAATAGATTTTTTTCAATCCAAAAGGCTCAAACGAAACGCGGCAACGAATTTAATATGAATTGTATTTTTAAAATTATAAATAAATTAATATAAACTGCTACATTAAAGTTATTAGCGGGATTGCTACCATGTACTTTGTTTACACGGTGCATGGTAGCAATCTAGTTATATTTCTTGAGATATAATAATCTAGCAGTTTATCGTTTTCAACTTACATGGTCACTAACATTATAGTTATTAGCGGGATTGCTACCATGACTGTACCTTGTTTATGCTGCTAGTAGATTATTACATTCGGTAAGACGCGCGGAAACTATTTATGCATTTAATAACCTTGTGAAGTCCCACTATCTAACTTTTGTTTTAAGTATCTGGACTGGATCATGTATTTGTATTTATACTTATTGTATGTATTGCAGTATGTTTATATATATACAGGGTGGAAATTTTGAATGCCACCCTCAGAGGAAGTACTCTAAATACTGGAGATAGATAATTTTACTCAAAGGAAACTTTCCTTTATTTTTAAAAAGAAACACAACTGCATTCACAGTTTTTCGAAAATTTGCTTGCCACACCCGGGAATCAAACTAGCGAAAATTCGAAAAAATGACACCTGTGTTTTTATGGCATCGATCGATAGGGTCAATTATAGGGATCATATCTTACTAACAAACTTAGTACATTAAATGGAAGGAAAAGCGTGAAATCTTAACTGAATGGAACAAGACTAAAAGCAGTTTTATCCCACCAGATTACACGAGTTAGTATTTTTATTATCTTCGACGTCATTTATTCATTCAAATAACGAATAACGATTTTTTACACATGTCTAAAATGCAGACTAAAGAGTCCAGTAAGGTAACATACCAGTGAGGTATGCAAAGAGGTATGTTACATATTTTTGAAAATGAAATAGCGAATTAGAACGTATTGTCTTAAGCCTTGTTTGCTGCATCAAAATTTACCATAATAAGTAATGGCTTATCAAGAACAATTTGATTTAATTGAAGCATATTTTTTAAATCACAAAGATATGAATTGAGTATGTCGTGTCTCTCCATACATATCCGGATCGACAAGTACCAACTCGATTCGATTTAAAGAGAATGGTAGATAATTTAAAAAATACTGGAAGTTACAAAAGGCGACAGCAACAGCAACGTCCTCAGCAGATCTATTCCGATTTTGATTTAAGTGTTTTAACATACTTCGAAGCATATCCAAAGGCTTCAAGCAGAGAAGCTGCCGAAGAAATTGGAACCAACCACACTCGCGTACTTAAAGTGCTGGAAAAGTATAAGTACAAATGTTTTCGTGATGGTCGGTTAGTTCAAAAATTGCATCCTAGGGATCGTGAAAGGCGTCTATTATTTTGTCAAAACATGCTGGCAGGAGTTGCTCGTAACCCGGATTTTTTGAGTAATATTGTGTGGTCTGACGAAACACACTTCAGTAATAACGGCATGTACAACCGCCGCAATAACCACTATTGGTCCCGAGTGAATCCTTTTCGTGTTCATGAAACTAACAGTCAATTAAGATTCTCTTTCAACGTTTGGTGCGGAATTATGAGAAACATGGTTGTGTTAGTCCACGTGTACGATGGTCATTTAAACACTGTCAAGTATCTTGAAATAATGGACCTCTTAAGAAATGAGTTAAATAATTTACCTGAGGAAGAGAGACATCGTATAATTCTACAATAAGATGGTGCTCCGGCCCATAACAGCAGAATCACCGCTGCCTATGTTAATAATCATTTCAATACCTGGATTGTTACAAAGGGCACAATTAGATGGCCTGCGAGATCACTAGATCTCACGCCTTTAGATTTTTTTTTGTGGGGATATGTACAAAATAAAATTTACCTCAAATCTTATGCAACTTTAAACGAGTTAAGACCTGAGATTCACAATACGATTTTTAATATTCATCACAACGCGCTATTAAAAGTTACTAGAAGTGAATTCCTTAAAAGAATAAATTTGTGAATCCAACAAAATGGAGATCATTTCGAGCAACTAATTAGTTAGAATGATTTTTTTTTTGTTCAAATAAAATAAGTTAAGATTTCATGCTTTTCCTTTAATTTAATGTACTAAGTTTGTTAGTAAGATATGATCCCTATGATGGACCCTATCGACTAATTATAAAAATACAGGGTGTAATTTTTTCGAATTTTTGCCAGTTCGATTCGCGGGTGTGGCAAGCAAATTTTCGAAAAACTGTGAAAGCAGTTGTGTTTCTTTTTAAAAATTAAGGAATGTTTCCTTTGCGTAAAATTATCTATCTCCAGTATTTAGAGTACTTCCCTTGGGGGATGTTCAAAATTTCCACCCTGTATATATATATATATATATATATGTGTGTATGGTGCATATATGTATAAATATATTATACTAGCGATTTACACCGTCGTCTTTCCCACTTCCTTCTAATCCTTTCCATCCAAAGGTTGCATGGAAGAGATCGCTTTATGCGATAAGGCCGCCCATTGCATCATTTGTACTAGATGGTTTTGTGCTTAGTGTTCAATGTTTTTCGTGGTGTACAATAAAGTGTTTTTGTATTGTATTGTATATCTCAAGAAAATTTTACTAGTAACAATTCCAAACGTCTGGCAGGATATTATGGTATGATTGGGAAATACATTCTACGAGGATAGCCATAGGCCACAGGTTAAGTTTCCCAAAACTGTCAAGTTACTCCCAACCCCAACCCCTGGGCTCCAAAATCCGGGGTTATCACGCGTCTTGTCCTGGTTGCCACATTTTAGAGATGGCAGCCCTACCTACTACAGAATGTATTAGATTTAGAGGTTATAAATATCATACTTAATCGTAAAAATTGTAAGTACACTTTATATATTCTGAATAGAATTAGTGTTAACCTCTATGTAAGCACTTAAATAATATGTACGATTCCTTTCATTAGACATTTAGGATAATATGAGTCACGTTAAAGCCCGAAGTAAATACAATAATATAAAGGTAAAGGACACCACGGAACGAGAATTAGTTAAAATATTCACTTTCGCTGTGTGGATGCTAGATCCTCTAAATCATTAATCATATGTTTATAATTAGGTACCTATATTCATATATCAAGTGCACTAAAGCACCAACGTTGATTATTCGTAATAGGATGTTCCATCTTAACAGAAGTTCCACTAGAACCGGTTTAAAATTCGGCGTGGTGTAGTATACCGTTACAAGCCACGCTATTCCGAGCGCACCTGCACTTAGGTCGTGGCTGACCGATAATGATGTGCGTAACACTTCGAAGAGATATGTTATCTTACTACAGATATAGATCGTGAATTCTTGTTAACCAAAACTTCAATGGTGTGATGCAAACATTGATAGAATATGTTACTCTACTCGTCATCAATGTAAAAAGATCGCAATTTTAGAAGCAAGGTAAGGATACTCGTACGTTTTAAAAATTCTGTTGACAATACATAAATTAGTATAGACGACTGAGTAAAAAACCACGATTGATTCTTAACTTAAATTTTCCCATAGGTAAGGCATATTGTATTGTTGATTGAACAACGGGCTCAGATTTAGGGTAAAGACCGTCTTTCAGAGATATTCATGTCATTATTAATGCACAAAATTGTATTGTGCGTTCAGAACTCCTTGGAGTATAATGTTTGGCATGGGGTTTCAATTAAAGAAAAAAATACTTTAAAAAAATCCACTCGTTTCAGGTTTCAGGCGGGATTCGAACCCGCATCTACCGCTATCCATCTAGCAGCCTAAACAATTAGCAGTTAAAAGCTTAAAAGTAAAAATATAATAATCTATAGTTTAGCAATACAACCATTATTGATTCGCTCATGCCTGGGAGTAGATCCACCTTCCTCCTTATCTTCTCAGAGGCAGTGGGACGAGCCCCTCTGCGTCTTCAGAGTGATCTTTTAGCTTCCTCTGAAAACGCAGCTGAGCGTGCTCGCCTCCTAGCTGTTTTCCAGATAGTTTGGTTACTGACTGCAAGCTTCTCCGTGAGCCAATAACGGGACTTTGCTTGACAGGAGCACTCTATCTCTTGCTATTTATTATCACTTAGACTTGGCGTCAAGACCAATCCTCCCCATCGCTGTCGTTGCGGAACTCGCGTCGGTGAGTAGGGGCACCATGGTCTCTCATGCCAAATGAGCGCTGGTCGAATCTCCCGCCATGTCTGCATCAATTACTTCATCCGCAGAGCTCTTGTCGCAGTCACTGTGCTAGCGGGCCTAGAGCTTAGCGGCACTTTTCGAGATGATGGCAAGAGACCTGGCGGAATGACGCTAATTCCTTCCAGCACGGTCGTCCTCTTGTATGGTATGCTACTTGCATGGATAGACACGGGCTCTACTGAGTGCTCCACGCGTTTTGTGTTGAGACTATGGGAACAAGGGGTCCAAGCGCTCGTTCCTTTTTAAGGAATTGTCTAAGAGACTCACCGAGGTAACTGGTGATCAAAAAGCTGGCAGCTACCGTCAACGGATTTGCCTTGCTATCTAACGAGGAAATGCTGCTAGCCTTTTGGACGCCATTCCTGACGGCGGCGTTGGGGATGATATATTATTTATTTTGTAAATTGTATTTATTTAAGAAGTTAAGTTTTAGGATAAATCTAATAATCAAACATTAAGTAGTTTTAAGCTTTTTTAATGTAATGAATTAAAATAATAAACTCGCGTAAAATAAAAAAGTTTAAAATTAATTTCATAAATAGGTGCTCCAATTCAAACAGTTAATCCGCTATAGGGACTTCCCCTCTCGTACCAAATTATTTGATATAGGTTACCAATACGCATTCTGTTTAATTTTACTTATTATTATTTTCTCAAGTTTCGCCTTATGAAAGTAAATGTCGTGTTAAAGAAATTGTTTACTGGTACATTCAATCACCTACAAATGAAGATTATAACATTACAATATATGTCTGTGATAACATTATTGACGTGGTTTAGCAGACCTTTACTTTTGCAAAATTCTGATACAACATTTCTTTAATGATACGGCACTTAACGACTATCATGGAGGTCTTTATGTAAACACAATACCATAAGAGGGCTTCATAATTATGTCTAATGGGTTATTGTATATGGGATGTCCTTGGATGGTTTCGGTTTTGATTTTCATTGAACTCGTACAAAGCAGGTACGATACGACGAACCTTTTTTTCTAAATAGTCTAAATACGATGCCATGCCATAGTATTGATGGAGCATTGTTGGGCCTCCCTGTAGTACTACTCGGGCACCAAAATAAGTTTATTATTACCATTTGAATTTTCGTAATTTATACATTAAACCATCTGATTATGATCATCGTCATTATAGTCTAGTCATCTTGTTGTTTACCTTGAATTGAACCGTGTTAGTAAATTAGTATTAAGTATAAATACTAAATTACAGACACAAAAATAGCTTGGCATCGAAATTCTAACGACAATACAGATAGGTAGATAGGCAGGTAATTGTACAATTAAGGCCCAAGTTTTTTACATCTTATTTGTAACTAACTTTTAGATTCACGAACCTTTTTCTAGTCTTTAATCTGAATTAAGGTTTCACAACTGAGGAAGTCAACAAGCCATATAATAACCATGCATTAAACGCGAGTTTGCATCTGAAAATCAACGTCACTTGGCAGATCCGCAGTCGGAAATATTCAAAAGCCTTATATATATACTAGCTGACCCAGCGAACTTCGTACCGCCATAAAAAAATAGGGGTTGGTGGTAGAAGGGCGAAAATTTTGGGTTATATTTATTTTTGTATGATGTATCATAAAAAAATTAAAGAAAAAATATCTGAAATTGAAAAAAAAAATTTAGGGGTGGATTAACCTTAACATTTAGGGGGATGAAAAATAGATGTTGTCCGATTCTCAGACCTACTGAATATGCATATAAAATTTCACGAAAATCGGTCGAGCCGTTTCGGAGGAGTTTAACCACAAACACCGCGACACGAGAATTTTATATATTAGATATATTTTGCAACTGAATCGTCGTAGTTTTATATTAATTTTGTAATTTAAAATGTCAGGAAATGATGGGGCTGGCATATCTTTATAATGGTAAAAGCCTCTAAATAAAGAAGATTGTAAAAAAAACTTAGAATATGCCACAGGCTGCTGTATCAGCAAAATGAGTTAAACCTAATTAGTAATTTCGCTGTTTTGGACAGTAAACAATATTTTTTGCTGAATAAGGAAACGTATTTTCTTTATTTCTACTTCTCATGGAATTATTTCGCCATTCCCAAATATGGATGCTAATGAATAATCTAAACCTTTTTTGTATGTGATAAAACAATTATCCCACCAAGGTTCAAACTAGGAACATTTGGAACAGAAAACAGGCTGTTGCGCTGAACCAACCGGGTGACAATGAAGCGTGTGAAATTATTAAGGTACCGTTTTTTCTATAATTAAAAAATAAATAAACATATGTATATATGCGACTGGATATTTGAAATGTAAATTTCAATATCTTGGTAGTATCCATAATCTCAATCTTCAGTCTAGCAGCAAACAAAACCTAGCTATTCCCTCTCACTCACCATACTGGTTTTGTTTCAAACTCATTTTCTCTTTAAGCTATACGATTCTGGAATACACTGCCTCCTCATATTCTAGATGCTCCGAACAAACTAGCTGTTAAACGCTCCGTACGTCATCGTTTATTAGATTCCTCCTCTACATTCTCCTGATATAAATAAATAAATAAATAAAAATAATTCTGACGAGGCAGCCTTTTCAGGCTGCTTCGTTAGAATTATTTTATATCATATTTGTTTCTTAGGTTTTCACGCACATCACTCATTAAATAAAACTAGTTCTTACGGGTTAATGCACGTGCATTTATATCAATTTTTATATCAATAAATAAATAAACTTTCGTGCTTTAACCCGTAAAAACTAGTTTTATTCAAAATTCAATATCGTTTATTCAGTCTAGGCTGTTACAAGCACTTGTGAATGTCGAAAAGCTACGCCATCGGTTCGCAAATCTACGGCGGGAGACCTTGTACTGAGAAGAACCGGCAAGAACAAGGGCTGTTTTTTTCTCCCTGTATTATATACAGAGTCGTCAAATTGAAAAATGACTTCAATATGAGGTAACTCATAATTAGTGATGTGCGTGAAAACCTATGAAACAAATATTTATAGATTTGATTTTAATGCAAGAAGTTCTGCTTGTCGCAGGCACGGGTACCTATTTCCTATTCTCATTCCCCTGCAAAGGTTAAGGCAAGCAGGTAACATGTTAAATAAACTTCCCTTTTCCCGAAAGGAATCATAAGGGTAGGAGTAGATTAGACAATTAGGACCCAGACTGTGGAATATCGGGAATATCTGGGACAAGTTTTTTTTCTGTTAAAAATGCTTTAAATTTGAAATTTAGAAGTTAAATACCTAAACAAATAAGACCCAAACTTAAAATAAATCATGTTAAACCTCATTCTATATATATTCGAGCTTAACAAAAAATACAGAGACGATAGTTGTGATGTTTTAAAACCCATGAAGCATCAATTTTTATTAAGAATTTTGGTGCCAATGGTTCTTAGCAATAATAATAAAATAATCTAAATTTTACCTAATAACGATATCAATCCACAGTTTCGGTCACAAAGTTTTGATTGCACTGAACGCGTAAGTTTATAACATTTCGAGACGGGGCGGCTCGCCGACAGTTCAGTTTGTTTACTATGTGGCACACACTGTTATCACGTTTGGACTCCACAAGTAACAGTTTTCGACTGGCACAAAATCTAAATAGTATAGTCACACACGCAATCTATTAGGTCGCATGTACAGAGAGAGATTAAATGCTTCTAACATTCATTTTCGACCTTGGTTTTATCAAATTTAAGTCAGTAGGTAATACTCTGAAAGATTTATTTTAAATCAATGCGTTTTTAAATTCTACAAGGAAAAATCAGTAAGCGATCGTCAGCTGTTATTGGCTGACTAACTCAATAATTTAGCGCTATATATTTTGCAAGTACCGAATATTGAGTTTTCAAATACTTAGGTAAATAATTACATAGTAGGATGGCAATATGGCATACAAATACACATTTTGAAAGTCTTTCTAAATTTATTGTAAGCAAAATTGTATAAGGACATACCTCTTTTTATGCCCTACTGGGTGGCATAGCGAATCGCTATGCCAGTGAATTTTCCGCTTCTGCGAAATGGAGCGCCCAAATCGCTCGTCGACAATTACAACTCCTATTGAAAAAATAAAGTTGTAGGTAATAAAAAGGAACTAAAACTTTTGTTTTAACACCTTCTACACAATACCTAAAAATATCTGCGAAATTTTTAAATATCTGACTCTATAGTTTTTTTGTTTTTATCTCCCACATAAAAGCTTCTTTTTAACGAAGTTTGCTGAAAACTTACCTTTTTATGTCCCAAACGCGCTCAATTTTTTTGATTCAATATATTTATTTATCGACTCAAAAGATCGACACCTTTTGTATTGACACTTTTCAGTAAATTTTTAATAAAAAGGAAAATCGGTTATTTTGATTTTTAGCATAATATTAAGGTTAAGGGGAAAAAGTGTAAATACAAAAGTTGTAATAACATTTTTCGAAATGAGTTGTACTTTAGACGAACAGTTCTTCCCCCTTAACAGGTCGAGAATCGTGACGACGAATTTATATTTTCTGAGATTTTTTTCCATAGTCATACACAGTCATACGTCATACACGCTATAGACTGGCAATCCGTAAGTCAGGTAATTGCCCGACTTGCATTCAGTTGGACCGCTTTCTCGCTGCGGCTATACTTCATGAAAACTTGAAAGCTTTGAACGTTATTTGTGGCAAAAAAGCCTTCCTGTTTATTCAGATGGTGCACAAATTACACGGGAACTGCAAGACAAGTACAGCGTGTCATCTCATTTGTAAGTACAGTTTTTTTGGTGAAAATAATGTAAAAATATTTAGTCATAACTTGATTTGTACCGTTGTTGACACTGTTGCCAATTGGAGGCGAATGAGCGAGATGTAATCTGCGTTATGCATCAGAGTGAAAGAGAGACGTTAGTGAGGTCTATGGGCGTCCAAGGGAAGTCGGGGTAAAACCATCACATTAAGAACTCGGAATTTCAAATTATATTTCTGCGATTATTTTAAGCAATTTGATGCAGCGAATATAATATGACTTAATATTTTCTTTCCATTTTACTACACATAAAGATGATTTGATGAGAAAAAAGTGGATAGAGATAGTTAGGATAAAAAAAAGCGAAAATTGTTTGCTGCCCATATTTAATAAATATTGAATATTAGTCTGTATTTAATAATTCATTGACGGTCGTTATTATTATATACAAAGCCAAAATTTTTGTGCTATGCTTTATAATGATTTTCGCCGAGGACTAACACAAAAAAGGTGCATTAATCGACTCAGTTCGATTTTATTTTTTGAAAAGCAATAAAAGTAAGTATAATGAATGCTATATGTTTATTTCACTTTATTATTCCGGTTATATAAATAGCTGTTATTAATGTAACCAGAAAACCGGAAACAACGAAAATTTGAAAATAGATGTTTTGTTGTGGAATAGAATATCAAGCGATCTGTCATTCCGCGATTCCGCACCTGAATCTTCACATCTATAAAGGCCAGACCTCTGTCTTCTTCCATCTCATAGGTGAAGTTAATTTTGGAATGGATACAATTTTTGCCAGGTGAGACTCAACATCATCTTTGTTAATAAACAGTCATCGATAAACCTCTTCCAAATTTCTGTGGGAGAGATGATAAAGTCTTTTAATGACACTCAGAAAGTTCTGAGAAACTGAAAAACTTACTTTTATTAAATCTTTTCAAAGAACTCTCCACCAGCCGTTAAACAAAGTTTCATGCGTCTGAACCAATTTTCAAATCATTTTTTCCAGTCCTCCGTAGACATCTCTTCCACGACCTTCTCAAACGCTGCTAGCGCTTCTTCCGGTGATGAAAACTGCATCCCTTTGAGCTGATTTTTTATTTTTGGGAATAAAAAGAAGTCACGCGAAGCCAAATCAGGACTGTAAGGAGGGTGTCTCAAAACTCTGACTGGTGTTGAGTCCAGGAAGTCCTTCGTTTTAATCGCAGAGTGCGCGGGCGCGTTGTTTGTTATGCGGCACCCAGCAGGAAACTATCCTCCCTACACAAAGGTGCTCGTGCAAAATCTTGTGAACACTTCCTGAACCAATCTGCAGAGTATGCTAAATCTCCTCGTACGTAATTCGTCTATTTTCTTGAATTAAATTTTATACTGCCAGCACCCTCTTTGGTGACAGCCGTCTTAGGACGACCACTTCTTTGTTCATTTTGAATTCGCTACACCAGCGGTAGATGGTTGCTTTTGAAGGCCCTTCATCCATAAAAGCAGTTCGAAATCGATCAAATGACTCATCAGGTTTTAAGCCACATTTAAAATCGTAAAAAACATAGCGCGAGAAGGTTCTCGATGCAAATCCATTTTTTAACGAGACAAGAAAATTTTAATTGGCTCTCGATAAAATGTAGAGGGACATTTGAAAATCAAACAGTGGTATTTTTACTTTTAAATAATCGAAGTTTTCAAAATAATTATAAGTGGCCACAAAATAATTAACAGTATATTAAACACTGTCTTACATAAAAACTTTTTTTCGCAAAACTTTCTGAGTGGCCTGGTGTATTGGCAACCACAGTAGCCACGGGACTTCCTATTGCACCCCATCTATTTGGAGGTAGTTCTGACCCTGATATATAAAGAAATTCGTTAACAAACAATGACGCAACAACTTGGCATATTCCTTCGGTGAAATATTCAGATGTCATTTTCTTTCAACTTCACCTTCACCACTTCCAGACAATGCAACACATTTGTGAACAGCGTTTCCACGTCAAAACTGACCATCAACTGATTTTCATCTACCTTGTTTTGGTGCAAGATTTCTATGAAATGGCGGGAATCTTTCACATACCTGCTCCACACGTTGGCCAACATTTTGGCGAATAGTTATCGCCATTACCTATGACCATCGTGTAGAGCAAGGGTTTGTGTTCATCTTGGTAGGTATTGGAATGATGGCCCACAAGTTGGCGCAAGATCCGTATGATCGTAACTACTCTCTACTTTCATATGGTATGCAAAAAATATATATTACTGTCAATGACGTATAATACATTTATAGGCAGATTATACGCCAACGTTGTTGCATTCAAAGTGGCACAAGTAGTGCTGTCCTCTTTACTCTTTGCGCCATACCGATACGGAAGAGAATGGGGTATAGTGAAAACTAGACTTTTAAAACCACAAAATCAATTATGAATAAAATATCTATTTTCAAATTTTAATTGTCAACAATTATATTCATTTAGACTAGGCTGTTACAAGCTCTTGTGAACATCAAAAGCTATGCCATTAGTTTGCAAGATTACGACGCGAGACCTCGTACTGAGAAGATCCGCAACCTTGTCTGCTGTAATAATATCATCGTTACAACCTTTTTAAGCTTGTCATCTATTTGCAATATTTTATTCTTTAATTGCAGTGTCATTTAATTCTCTTCCGGTTTATTAAAATATTTTATCTGTTCCAAGGCAGCTCCTATGTGCGTAAAGCAGCGTACGGATAGTGTTTTTAGTCAGTATGATTCTGACATAACCTTACTGCCTATTAGCCTGTAGGGTATCCATGAGGATTTTTTTCCCCGCTCCCCCGTTTGGGAGGAAACAAAAAACGTACCTTCCACGAGTTGCTATGAGTTTGGATAGCGCATTCAACGACATGCCTAGGCGTATACGCGTGCCCTGGAACGCTCTATCTATACGGTACGCAGCTTTAAAATTTTCTTTTTCACTTTTCTAAATTTCCATACTTGTTTACCTATTTTTTAGAGTTAGGTACGTAGATACTTGGGGTGATAAAGATAATGATACTTAATTAGTAGTAATACATTACTTGTACAAATTAAGCCCACTCTTCCGTGGCGTCAGTCTGTCAGTGGGCTCTCTCCATAGAAATAAATCAATATATGTGTATATAGATTTATTTCAGTGGCTTCATCTTACAAACCGTAATAAAGAGACGGTTGAAATTTTGACAGAATGTTTATAAAATTTTCACACAATGATGTTGATTCTGGCAGGGTTCTCTAAACCTAAACTTAAAATTGACAACAGTGTTTCCTTGTCATTCTCTATACAGAGAGATTGATGTTGAATTAAGTTTGAAGTCTAGAGAATCGTACCAGAATCGACACCAATGTCTATTTCAATAGAAAACATAAAAAAAAAATGGTTGCCTGTAAAGTCGGTTTTACGGGCGAAGATTTTACGTGACAACGTCTTTTTCTCGGTAGAATATTTATTGATATGAATATAATTAAATTGCACAATAGGAACAAGGAATTGAATGAAAATAAGAATTGCACAAATTTTAACTATAGAAATATATTTTGTTTACTAAAACATTGTACATGTAAACTTAAACTTAACACGAGAGACTCATCGTAACGTTACCGAGCGTTACACTTTTTCATAAGTGACTCCCAGCCGCAACCTAATTTAAGACGTTGTCACGTCAAAATAGTTTTACGATATTGTTACTAAGGCCTCAGACAGACACGTTAATTAAACTTGATATATTTCTAGGAAACTGACAGCTTAATATTATCATAAATCAAAACAAACATTTCAGAGCATATTTTATTAAACTAATTATGTATATACAATCTTTTAAATTCAAAAACCAATATCACCATATCTTAAAATAAAATACTATTAAAATGCTCATTTGTTTAAGAAACCAACGACCACCAAAGCATGTTGTAATTTTTTTTAATGATTTTTTATAGGCAGAAATGTCTTAATAAATCTTTTTTGTTTCTTTAATACTAACAACATTTGATTACGTAATGAAATAACACTGTGGTTATACGAGTGGCTAAAACCTACTTACCATATCTAAAGGTTGACGTCATTTGCCTCACTAGCCTTTAAATAACTTGTTAAAAAGGTCACACATAACTAGGGACTACAAGAATTCCTAGTATATTAATTCCTAAAATAATTATTAAATTGCGATTAAAACTTGTCGAATATGAGAAGGTAAAATTACATTTGGGGAGCTGGCGAACAAAATGGTATAATTACATAAAATTAAATTTTACAGGAGCTGTATAAAACTGATTGACATAGCTCCACTGAGCTTTTGGTATGGTTTTTAATTTATAAATTTAGTAATTTTAACACTGTTTTAGGCGGTTTTGATTGAAATATTTGAGATTCATATTCTACGGGCCCGATACATCCGAACTGTAAAAAAAAAGTAGATTGACCAGATGCGTAATTATACCGTTTTGTTCGCCAGCTTCTCATTTAGAAGATACCTATTTCGTTTGTTACCCGTTGTCCACGTAAGAAGTTCACCTGGGTGGACCCCCGAGACTTGTCCTGACCCCTGGTTCACCTGGGTGGACTGAGAGGACTTGTTATGACTCTTGGTACACATGGGTGGACCACGGATATAAATATTATCATTGAAGAATACGCCTGTGATTTTTTTATTAATCTTAATGTTCTCATTTTAGTTTCCTACATAAATATCATTATTCCGAAAAAGTACCAGGATACCACACATATCTAAGAGGTTCTAGTTATAAAAATGGAAAGAAACAAAGTACTGTTTAATAACTAGTTCTGAATAAGTTTTTTTTAACTGTTTCATAATCAGAACCCCTTTTGCCATGTATGGTCTCCTGGTACATTTTCCAAATAATGATTTTTATATGAGAAACTAAAATGAGAACATTAGATTAAAACAAACCATTTCAATATATCTGTGGTCCACCCATGTGAACCAAGAACCAGGACAAGTCTCCGGGGTGCACCCAGGTGAATTTATTAAGTGAACCACGGGTAACAAACGACATATTTTATTGAAAATGCTTTAAAAATATCATGTCACTCGAATGTTATGGGTTTATTTACGTATCAACTTGAATTGCAATTTACTTGATTTTCATATTAAATTCAATACTAGCCTTATATGGAATGTAAGAAATATCTCATAGCATTCTCAGCTTATTTATAAGCTGAGAATGCTATTATAAATAAATAAAGATTCGTTTTCCTAACAAATAAAAACTATTATACTTTTTATGAAGGAATTTGGCAAGCTTTCAGATTATATATAGCTATCATATTGCCTACCCTATTTTAAACTTCTGTGCTACATTAGTAAATAGTGTATTTTTAGCTAAAGCTTTACTTGTGTCTTTAAATGTCTATAGTTGTTTATTATAGATATTCCCGAATTCGTTCCTAAATTAGCCTTTGAATCTTTTTATACGTTCACGCTAGTCAATGGCAAGACTTCGGAAGGAATCTTTGACAGCATCAGATTTATTCTTATTTTTCTTCTCTGCTTTCCAAAGGTTATTCTTCATCAAAATATCCCTGAAACAAAATATACCAAAAGACATTATTATAAGTGCATGATATTAGAAACTATTTGAAACATTAAATGGTCATCATTCAACATCGAGCTATGCTGAGCCGTGCTGTGCTATACTCTATTTAGACAACTAGCTTATAGAAAGGCAAAAAACCCTTAAAAAAACCACTCGGTTAAACCTGTCTCGATGGCGCAGGTGGTTAGCGCGTTCGGCTGCGATCGTTGAAGGTAAGCAATTTTCGCAGTGGTCGGTCATTGGATGGGTGACCAAATATCTTCTATCTTGAGTTCCTCAGTGCTTCAGAAGGCACGTTAAGCCGTTGGTCCCGGCTACATCTGCAGTTAGCACCCGCCAATCCGCACTGTGCCCGCGTGGTGGGTCATGGCCCAATCTCCCTATTCCATCCATAGGGAAGGCCTGTGCCCCAGCAGTGGGGACATTAATAGGCTAATGATGATGTAACCTGTCTTAGCTATTCAATTAAGCAGCTTAATGTTTAAAATAAAAATATAATAAACAACTCGCTGTTATTAAAGTATAATTGAGGAATTAAACAATACGTGGTGCGCTGTGCCATCTTTGTGTAGCTATGTTTTATTGGGTTGTTGTACATTCACCGCAAAGTAATTAAATTAGCCCCATTGTTCTTTACTCCATACATTGAAAGATATAATTCAACACATGCAATTTACTTTATAAAAATAGAATTGTTTACACATAGTTGTTTGTTTCGTGATACTTTTACTTTGTGACGAATGAACAACAAACTATTTTGCCATAGTGCGTCTGCTGAAAAAAATACGATCGTAATGATTCGTGACAAGTCGTGTCAGTTTGTTATCATGTTAACCTGATGTTAACAGAATAACGTACACTTTTGACCTATCAAAAAATATGTCCAGAAATCAACTCTATTCGGTCGACATAAGGAACTGATAAAACCAGTCACAAATGTTTCAGTGGCCGCAAATTAATAACATGAGCACAGCACACCAGTACAATATCGTAATACCAGAGGCCTATTCCTGCAACATTTCCGCTTCCCGCGATCCCTTTGATTTCATACTTATAAAAGAGTTATGTTACATTGACACTTTAGCTTTGAAGGGAAAAGAAAAAATATTAAGTTCTTAAACAATTAACAAAGATGGAATGATGTGCTAAACACGATTAAGCCTTAATTAGAATTAAAAACTTTGATGAGAGTGGGCCTTCAAGTGATATAATAAAGCCCCAGTGCCATTTAAACAATGTAGGTACTTTTAACTTAAATAACTTATTAACGTTTAAAATAAAACTTTACAGCTGTAGAAGGTTAACTTATTTACTAAGCTTTGTCGTAAGTTAATTTGTTCACCTTTTACTTATTATTACATCCATGACGTGTTGCATGTGGTCATCCATCGTCCCTCTGGTGCCTCCATAATCATCGGGGAGATCATCTTTATCAAAATATTTGTATAGACTATCCGATTTCGGTGAATGGAAATGAACCTGCAAAAAAATGGAATATAGCAAACGCTAATAGCAAAATTACTTTATATTTGGACTTACTATTATGTATTCTTTGCCTACACATAATCTTAGGCTTAAATTCAGATTATCGAAAATTGATGTGGTATCGTATTCGTTACTAGGTCCCTCTTATTTCATCTCCATTTTGACGCAAAATAAATACTTACAAAGAAATAGTAAATCTAATGTAAACAAAAAAATTCAAACGTTTAAGACGTTTTTTGAGAGAGAGAGAGAGAGAAACTGAATGTGGCACAATTTTGAAAAGTGAAATTTTATATCAAAGAATCTTTGTAGACTATTCTACATATTGGAAAACGTAAAAACGGTCTTTGAAACTGTCTCCTTACTTTTGCGGGAGTGAATACTCTCTCAATGCGCAGTTTTTTTTTGTCATATTTTATATGTTAAGAAATATTCAGATAATCTAGCTCTAGATTTTTATGAATAATAAGTATATTTCTACTTTATGCTTTAAACAGCTAGATTTATAAAAAAATAATATAAAAAAAATAGAAAAAAAAGAAAATAACAAAAAAGTTACTGTAACTTAGAAAATATTTCGAAATACCAACTAAGTCAAAACTTATTACGAATTTTCAGAGTAGCTTTTAAACTTTGATAATTATGCATCAATCTTGGGAGAGTTTTATTGAAAAAACTGTTAATGATGAACTCCCACTCGTTCTCTTCTATTTAGGTATGACCGATTCGTGCAATCATATATAGCTATCCTGTCTTTTTCAGGAAAAATCCGGGGCTAAAATACCGGTAATTACATTATTGTTGTGATCGGCAATTTAACATTTATATGCTTATTATCAATAACTTACCATGTCTGTAACTTCTTGTTTCAGAAACGGTTTCATTAGACCAAATATCTTGTCTATAAACGGCGGTGCGTTCACCAAGTGTATCTGTTTCAATCTGATGGGTAAAGCGTCCTGCAAAAAGCAATATTTAAAATAAATAAAACTGGTTTGAAAATCGACTCATAATTGACTTGCAATAATAATTTTTGAATAAACCTATTCCATGCTATTCCCGTGGTACGGGTAGTCCAAACCATACCATAATCATGGCACTTGCTACAGTCTTGCTAATTACGCTGAGAGCTACCTCAAATTTTAGTATATAGAGCGAGAAGAAGCAATTTGCATATCACTAGGTTAAATAAAGTAAGTACTAAAACATAAAGGTGGGTGAAGTTCTCACTTCTTGATATTTGGCCAGTTTCCTAGCGATGGACACATTGAACTTGGTGATGAACTTGAGCGATATGTCCTTCACATCGAGCAGCACCAAGTCAGCGTCTTCCAAGTGTTCCTCGTTGAGGAGCCACGCGTCCATCGACAAGAAGAACAGCCTGACATCTTGTATGTAATCGAACAACTCCAAGCCGGGGTCGTTAAGCTGCCATATCCACAGGTTGCGATTGCCCGATATCCGTATCTGTGCCAAGTTCCTGGAATGAATAAAAGATTCGTTTTTTTTAATAAGGATTTAAATAGACAAAAACTCATAAGAAAGTTAGGATTACTAGGGGAGGCCTAGAGGGGATTTAGGGATTTATGCGAGCGCGGCAGAATAACTACACTTGGTTAGGGTTTTATTTGTTACTAGCGGCCGCCCGTGACTTCGCACGCGAGGAGTTAGTTATATGCACATACTTTTTGACTCCAAAAGGGGGTTTATTTCTAAAGATACATTATTAGTACACCTCTACACCATCTTTAGAGCATACAAGTTAAATTTCAAGTTTCTTACTTCAAAAAAATAGAACTTTCATACAAACTTCCAACCTCCGTATTACCCCTTTTAGGGGTGGAGTTTCGTGATAATATGTTGACCCGACTTCTTAATAATACTCGTGCCAATTTGAAGTAAATCCATGTAGTACTTTTTGAGTTTATCCCGGACATACATACAGACAAACAGACAATAATTCTAAAAACTATATTTTGGCTTCGGTATCGACTGTAGATCACACCCCAAGTGTTCTTTTAAAAAAATATTCAATGAACAGTTTTGACTTTCCTACCATTTTATTATATGTATAGATGGTCGGTTATTGTGCTTATATGCTTATCCTAAGTATTTTCTTTGTAATATTTCAGAGTATGCGTTAAATCCGATAGTTTTGATTTCTTGTTTATGATGTTGGCCATATAAATAATCCAAGTTTGTGACCTGGCTCACCGAAGGCAACTTTTTTTCAGATTTTGACGATTATAATCCTAAATGACTAGTTTTTGATCGTATCTTCTCAGGGAGTTTTTAAAAATAGATGCTGCAATGCAGAAAACCTTGCGTCACCCTTAAAAATGATTTTAAAAAACCAATGAAAATCCAGATGCTTGTCCTAGGTGTCGTTTGTTCCTCGGAATATTTAGAACTATAATATGTTATTGCGATGTTGCAAGCCCTCCTGACTGGCCTTATCAGTGGCAGCAGCAGGAGAAGAGCCCCCAAAAATTAGGTATCTAGTATGATCGACCTCTTGAAGAAACCAATGCTCATCTGAAAGATCATCAATTTCTGTATGAAATAAACCACTGCTGCATAGAAAATTTTACTATTTAATTTCCAGGATTTTCATTAATTAAATGGATTAAATGAAAATTACATTTATCTATCAAATCATCATATGACACAAAAGTTCACCATTTCATAATACCGTTGCGGGTTATGGTTAGGGCTACCATACGTCCGGATTAGTCCCGACATGTCTGAACTTTTAGACTATAGTCCCGACTTTGTCCGGATTTTTACAATTACATTGAATGTGAATAATAAAAGTACATATTGATTTAAATACCATACCATTGTAACTAAGTGAGAAATGGTACCATTTTGTATCTAAGAAAGTCTGGACTTTTTTCGAAAAGTCAGGATTTTTGTCAGGACTTTTGAAATTTCTAAATGGTAACCCTAGTTGTGGTTAACATCGCCACGTACGTTTCTTAACTTATGTGGTTTAACCACGAGATAAAAAAAACTTTGACAGTCGTGTCGATTCATGATTCTCTTGACCTAAATTTAAAATTGACAACAGTGTATTCTTGTCATACTGTATGTAGAATGAAAAGGAGACACTGATTTTGAATTAAGTTTTAAGTTTAGAGAATCATATTTTGATTGATATTCCTATAAAACATTATTCAAGCACAATACAGGATAACATCGGTTAGGCGTCACAAACTTGATATTGACGACTTTATAACACGTTTTTAATACGGCTATTAATAACAATTATTATTATAATACCAGTTACTAAAGGTAACTAAAATTATCTCATAATACCAGATTTAGTTCGTTAGTTTAACTGAATGGTTTTCCTTAACTGATTTCTGTGTAGCGCGGTCAAGGTTTGCGTAATGTAATCTAGTGCAATAAGATCAATCAACTGAAACACAGATCTTGCATTACTTAATGCAGGTACCTATTTACGAGATACCTCGTCGATACCTAAGAACTGTGACGTCTTGGTATGTTCACTTTGCTTGCAGGATTTTTTTTGTGATCGAATAACAATTGTACAATAATACTGTTAAAAGAAAATAATAACAGCTGTACCTATCGTTAGCCATCTTGTTAGGTATGCTGAATATTTTAATACTGTTTTTTTTTGAAAACATACCTAAATGTTGGCAATTGAATTAATAGCGAAATACGGCAACAATAAACAAAATATTATTGTATGAAATTTATGAAACCCCTTAGAGATATTAAAAGATTTTTTCAAAATCCCTCAGAAACCTAACACTTTTCCGGTTTAGAAATATCTCAATCCAGGTCATAAACTATATGCGTAGCAAATTTCATCCAAATCCGTTCAGTGGTTTAGGTGTGAAAGCGTAACAAACAAACAAACTCACTTTCGCATTTATAATATTAGTTAGGATTTGTGCATTCAATAATCATAATTTGTCGACCTACATGACCGAGTGGTTTGTACGCCGGGCTTCATTACTTACTTTGGGGCTAGGCTAATTGGTGTGTGTTGGAAATATTTATTTATTTATAATCATCATTTATTTCTTATCATCCGCAATCGATAAATTTGGTTAAAAAAGTGCCGTTATAAATTTATTTTACATAGTTGTTACTGCTAAGCGTTATTAAACATCACAATTTACATTTTAAGATTTAATACATTAAATTAAACACAAGTACGAGTAGGTAGCATTATCAAAAATATTTGAAGAATGCATTGTCTCTATTTCCGACCTGCTGATAGCAAAACAATGGGGACTGCGCGTGAGCATTTTCATAACTGCTAGGTTTCAAAAAGCCAAAGTTTTTTTTATGAAATAATTTCACTCGGATAGTGGAGGATTGTTGCTGTTGTTGCATAGATGAGTTTCTAGTAACATATTCTCAAAATTAGAGTAATGTTGATGACTTACACAATTTTAAATGTCTTCTGAAACTGTGGTGACAACGGGTCTCTATCATTAAGGAGTTCTGGTATCGAAGCTCTTATCGTGCAGAATAATTCTGCGGCGCTTTTCGCCTGCTCAAAGTTGTAGTAGCAGCTGTGTAGAAACCGCCTGATCAGTTTGTCCTCTAGAAATAAAAGAAAAACTATTTATAATAACAAAAAAACATCACTCAACTTGTAAGTCCTTTATGTTATACTGGCGGCCACCCGCAACTTCGTCTGTGTTAACTCAAAAATTTGCTGGGATAAAAATTATCCTATGTCTCATCTCAATCCAGTTTATAAACTTTCTGTGTACCAAGTCTTATCCAAATCCGAGCAGTAGTTTTTGCGTGATTGATATTAGTAGGCAGTAGGAAAACATTAGACAAATGTTTTTTTTTTTTGATCAGATCGAATATTATCTACTTTATTATAACATAGAAAGTATATTTCATACCTACTAATATTATTAATTCGAAAGCAGGTCTGTTTGTCTGTCTGTTATGTTTTCACGCCTAGCCGAATTTGAAAAATTAAGGCCAGAGATAAAGATGGTGCCTATTAACAATGTCGGTTATGCATTTTGCCAATATTCACTTTTTTACATAAATAGAATCACAATAAAAAGATCTATCATACGAAACATCAATTTTTTTTGAAAATTGTGATATATCAGTTTTTCGTTAATGTTGGTATCGTTCCTGATTATTACACAATTATTTTTAAGTATATTAGGTGCCTTAACCTTAGCTGGAGAGATTAAGTGTAGACTGACTTTTAAAGTATCTACGAAACTAACTGTACGGTCCTGGTCAGAAAATGTTTACCAGTTTTGAAATTAGATTCTATATCACACTTTTTCACTAAAGTCTAGAAAGCCATATCAAGTAACTTATTACCTTTCAAAAGTTATTATGCAAAATGACGCATCGAGAATAACAAAAAAAAATATATTACTTTTTGATATTGAAACTCATTTCTTTATTTGTTGAAATGACATTTATAAAAAAATATTGTTTAAACATTTTTTGGACAAGAGCAAATTTTTACGAAAAAAAATTTCATAACGAAATAAAATGACAAGTTTGACCCTGGAGCAAAGGGCTGAAATAATATTTCTCTTCGAAGATGGACATAGTATTAGTTCTGTATCACGAGAACTTAATATATCGCGATTCACTGTAAGGTTTTGGATCCGGCGTTACGGCGAAGAAGGGTAATTAACAGAGCTTAGAAATAATTCAAGACAACGATCAATACTAACCGCCACGCAAATAACAGAAATGATTCGTCGTTACGAAGAGAACAGTTTCACACCAACTAGTTATTTTTCTGCTTTATATGATGTGAGTGCTCGGACGATCCGACGAGCTCTGCACAGTGCTGGACTACACTACAGATCCCTGCTATACTACCCTACCCTGCTATTAAAGTGGAGCTGAAACCTCACCACAAAACAGCCTGGCTTAACTTTGCGCGACAACATATCGATTTTGATATTCTATATTTACCGTTGAGAAAACCTTTAAATCAAGCCGAATCGGAAGATTAGATTTATGGCGCTATAATCGAACTCGGTATGATGAAGCTCATATCGTGCCTCAAAACGAGTCAGGTCGCATAACAGTAAACTTATGAGGGTGAATGAGCCGGAGAACTGGCGCCGTTAGAGAATAGGGCTACTGCCATTAATTATGTGTCGCTTTTGGCAGAAGTGATGCTGCCTACTGTGCGCGTAGTGTATCCTGCAACAAAATTCCCGCACATTACCTACTTATGTTCAATTCAAGATAATGCATGGATACACACGACCCGTGCTACTATGGCGTGGTTCAACCTGCACCGTGATTTTCGTCCCAGTCAATGGCCCGCTCGGTCTGCTGATTTGCACCCTATTGAAAATTTATGGGGGCTTATGGTTCAACGCTGGGACTGTCAAAATTCACATAAACTTTTTTCGTTTTAGAACATAATCTTCACAATCCAATAGGTTCCCATGATGCTCTAGTAACTGCATCCCGGGCTCCCCTACTAATAATCATCACCTAAGAATCAACCCTTTGTTCATCTTCAGCCGATCGACTTCCACTACTGGACATAACCCTCAAGGGATTTCCATTCCATACACAATGCTTCTGCGCTTTCCACATCCTGTGGGTCTACCCGATTCGCAGAATTAATAATTGAGAAGAAGAAAGAAGCAGAGTTGAATGGATTGTCATTATAAAAGGTATTTTTTTCTGAACATTGAAGAAGCTTGTTTGCTCCAATCTCAATAAGTAGAAAAAGCTAGGAAGTAAGCAGGCGTATAATTAGTACTGCTTGAATCGGGCGTATCTTCCAAAACAACTATGGATCAACACACTGTTGACATCGATGGAAAACAGAGGGACTGTTTCAACATTACTAAATGTAATCGATCTCGCCACATTGTCGTCTACCTACACAATAGTCACTTTCCGTGAACACACCGGAAAACTTACGGCAACCAAGAGACCCTACTTAAAGATAAATTCCGTTGAATAGCCGTTGTGATGTAACGCATTTATTTTTATGTGAAAATTTGTATTCTTGCCTTATAAGAATCATACAATCCCACCCGATATACCACGGAAAACATTGTGTTTTATTCCAGAAATGTGTCACAGAATTTTAAATTTGTAAAAGATACATTTTTGTTTATTATAAGTTTAGATTTTTATATCATTTTTTAAAGAGTCTGAAAAGGCTGAATGAGGGTCACCATATTGTAAATTGTACAGTAAACAGTACCCTTAGCACAAACTAATATCGAATTCGTATCGTTTGCGAGAACGAAATGTCATTGTCAAATATATACCCACTGATTTTTAGTTCTCGTAGATACGTTATGGTGCTGCTGTTCAAGTTTTCATACAAAATTTGACAATGACATTTCGGACTCGTAAACTATTCAAATTCGATAATGGTTTGTGCTAGGGGTACAGTAACACAAAACATCTATTTTGAAAATATGACCGGATTGTTAAATACTTCTTTTATACTATTCCAGGGTCTATTTGCCAGGATACACAATGGGCCTCAGAGCAGTGTTCTAAGACCTACCTACCTATATACGGCACCAGCCGCGTGCTTCTCCTGTTACTGTTGCCGAATTACCTACCACAACCTTTGCTGTTGCTGAACCTACGGTGGAATTTAACTATCTTCGTGGGAACCAAACAACGAGTATTTGAGTTGCTTTATCTATTTGTATAAACATTTCAGAGATTATATATTAAATAAAACAAATTTCAACGGTAGATAAAGATGCACTGATTTATTTATTTATTGACGTTTCGATGCGTCGTCTGAAAAATGTCTGTTAAGGATGCGAAACGTCAATAAATAAATAAATCAGTGCATCTATACCGTTGAAACTTGTTTTATTTAATGAGTGGTGTGCGTGAAAACCCAAGACTATATATGTTACGTATGTTGGACGTTGGACGACCTCCGTAGTCGAGTGGTTTGTACGCCGGGTTTCATGGTATCGCCGACTCGAGAGGGTTCGAATCCCGATGGGGGCAGATGTTTGTGTGATGAATACGAACATTGGTACTCCAGTCATGGATGTTTAATATGTATTTCTATGTAAATATACTTATATATGTACTGTATATATTCTATCCGTTACCCTAGTATCCCATAACACAAGCCTTACAGTGCTTACTTTGGGGCTAGGCTAATTGATGTGAATTTTGGAAATATTTATTATTTATTTATTATGTTTGTATGAGATATTGAGTTATGGTTATTTAAAATCATTGTGGAGAGATTTTAAATAACCATATAAAGGTACTATATACTCCAAAGGTATAAAGTTTATGTTTAACTTTTTTACTTAAAAACTTCTTGATGTTATCGTTACTTTGGTTACGTGGTCAGTTTGTTGGAAAATAAGTAGTTTCGATTGAAGCAGAAGTTTTATAAAGTAAAGTGAGTTTATATTCTTCAATTTGGTCCTTCGAGCCTTCTTCACCGAGCAAACCATCCTTGAATACTGTACATTCAATTTTAAAAACTTTCTTCACACAGTTTGTCATTATAATGTAACCTTCTTAAGCTATAATTAGTGTATCGTAGCAGTGACAAAATCTACATCGGCTCGCTTGTGGTAAAAAATCTCTGCTGCGGCCGCGCCGCCGTTGCCATTGACAATTTCTGACAAACATTAATTGTGTCACACAAATACATTGATGGCTATTAAGAAATAGGTAGGTAGGTATATAAGATTTAAAGCTAGCTGCACACATACAATAATATTGTAAATGCAATATTGTCAGTGATGTTGGTCAATATATAGCTAGTACCACACTACACAATATTATTATTGACGATATTTCGTGATAGTCTCTGGTTCAGTTACGCAGCTTCATTTAATTTGTGTACACACTTTAAATAATGTACATAAATAAAATGGTTGCTGTATTTGTTATTGCATTTATTTTATCCAAGAGAAAAAGGCAATCAAGAAAGAAAGTTACATTAAAGACTAGCTGCAGAATAGAAAAGGATACACTAGCAGTTACTCTATATACGCTTCACTATTTTTTTCGAAAATTCGTTCGTAGAGTATATTTTATTTACGTATTCTCTCGTGTTATTGTGACCTGTTTTTTTTTTAATTTATTACGATAGGTATACATCAGTGTTATGGTTGGATGTATTCTATAGTTAGGGATACGTGTCCCATGTTTGAATAAATATAGATATTATATCTATCTTGTTTTTCCGTGGGAGTAGTGAGTATTACCAATATTTTTTTCACTTTTATATGGTCGTTTGTTGTTAAAAGAGTTACTTCTTTTTCTTCCATATGGCAATTAACTCTTGTTGGGTTGTTAAAAGTGAGATAAATACTTTTTCAAGTTCATTTTTAAAGAAAATGGACATGTTAGCCTTAATACAATATTTTCTGGCCCTAGTTCATACATTTTGTTAAAACAACTTGATCTAGATATCCTTCATACTTTATAATTTCCGGCTATACGTGATTCTTATAATACTTATAAATTATAATACTAAAATAAACTTGTTTTAAAAATAGAAGTCCATTCACGTAACTTGTTCATTTTCCTCGTCTTGTTGTTGCCTACCTAATGCCGGAAATGCATTTCACGATGATTAAGTATGTTAGTCGGGAGAATGATCTTTGAAAAGCTGACATTAATATCCAATATGGAAGCTATTAATAACAGTTTTTTAAACTACAGCGAGTTCAATCTCGATAAGTTATAATAACTACCTAGTTGTCAGACATACCTATGTCTGATATTTCCATGTCATGTAGCAAACCATCATTGCAAAACCCTTGTCATCTCTCAATACTTGGTACAATAGTAATTTATTTTATCATTGCAATCGCAACACAACTCTGGGTAGATAGATATACCTATAAGTATGTCTCTCTAATGACTAGCCGACTTCAGATCAGTTCCTCAGTGTAAGTATATGACTTTCAAATAAAAATACATTACGGAGACTCTATAAGCGGATTAATTACAATACAATGATACCATGTAGAATGACCATCTTTGCAAGGGTCGTCGCTGAGAATCATTGATCCAAAAGTATTGTGATTATGTATCTTCAAATATCTAATTTATTGGAATGTATTGTGGTATACTAGACAGTGACAATAATATACATTATATTAACCTAAGTCTTTACGTAAGTTATCAATGGAAATAAACTAATAGGCTATATAATATTTATTTACCCAAATCTTTAGGCAGGTGAGGTTGGCTGTTGACCCAGGTTTTGAACTGTGCCATTTGCTGTTCTATCTCTTCGGGGCTCTTGTTTTCTGCCATTTTGGCTATTTTTCCCACTGTAAATGAAACAAAATACAATATAGGACAACTTAAATTGTGTGTCATCATAAGACGTTTGAGCGAGGCGCAGCAGTCGCCAATAATAGGCAATTATTTTTTCGAAGTCAACTGACAAAAAATGTACTACTCTCCTTATATACAAGTTAGTGTAAATGAAATCATTTTCTAAACTCTCACTAAAACTTTTAAAGCTGAAATCTCTTAAAGTATATGACTCATTATCTTGTTAAGGATGTTTCAATAAGAGTGCATTCTTTCATTTTAAAATAAAAACACCCATTTTTTGAAAAAGTTGTAATATTTTTATTGGATTCTAAAGAAGACATATTCCGATTATGAATGGAATAAAAAATCCGTCAAATGGCCCCCACGACTGCACAAAGTACACTCTTATTGAGACATCCTATACTACCGGGACATTGAGCTATAACTGAATAGAATAAATTATTTTATCCCATAAGACAAGCCTTACAGAGCTTTCTTTAGGGCTAGGCTTATTGATCGTGTGTTGATCAAAAGTCAAAATTCAAATTTCAAATTGGATGCACAATACAACTCTTTTGAATCGTCCATATTTTTTTCTCTACCACCAATTAAGAACATTTTTTAGCTGTATCATTGTAGCATTTTAGAAAAATTAACGAGAAACCCTGCACAGCGTTAACTATGCTATGTAGCATACATTCTGAAAGAATAAAGTAATTTTTTAAATTAGAATGCGAATTTCTGACAAAAGAGCAGTGCTGTTCGTAATTTGCCAACCAAAATACATACCTAGTTACAGAAAAAATCAAAAAATATAGACCCGACCGATGCATGCGATGCGACGCAACGGTAAAGTTAGAGACTAGTAAATTCTAGGGTTTTGTTTCGCTCCAAACTCAACATAGCAAGTTAGTTTTAAAGGGTAGTAAAATTTTACATTTTTGAAGACTTGTTTTTTTTATTAACGTGAATTGGTAATTTAATGTTCCTCGAGTTTATATAATTTTGCCATATTTTAATATCTTACTTAACACATTATTATACTTTAACTACACGAGTATAAAATTATATTTATCGTAATAATTTACTGATAGCATTTTTTGGGTTGAAAATTTTATATATTTTTAACAAGTTATTAGTTATATTATGTAATGTTAATTGATGTTAATATTATTTTATAAATGTTTAGCTGTATTTTCGAAGTGAAAACATCTTTAGCGGCGTTGTACACTTTTTTTTAATGGGTAAAATTTTTTAAACTCGCGTCAGGACACGTGACCTAATCGAAAATTCGTAAGACGAAAACAATAAAATTGGATAGGTTGTTGACGTTCAATATATTGGACGAAACATAGTAATATTTTATTTTATCGTATTATTAAGTCTCTAAGTAGGACGTTCAGATGGCAGCATATTTTCATGTAAGTTGATTTCTCTGAGAGATAAACTTTTTAATGTAATATAAATTGTCATGTTTGTGTACGATAGCGCAATAAATAAATATTGTATTCTACCACATAAATGATAGTACCTACTTTTATACTGATAAATTAAAGCAATTCGTGCAAAATTATTCCCTTACCATTCCAAAATATCAAAAATGCACAACGTTCATATTCAAGTTTCCACTTCTGCCGGTCCGTCTCGGAAACCCGTCGTTTTTTTATTACAGACGACGTTAGTGAATATTATCTGATCTTCGTCTGCGTGAAAAAAAAACGTTTCCCATACAAACTTCCACCCCTCTTTTCACCCGGGTGATTTTGGAATAAAAACTATCCAATATCCTTTCCCGGGACTCAAACCATCTCTATACCAAATTCCATCTAAATCGGTGATGCGGTGGTAAGAGGCGGACGGACAGACAAGCAGACACACTTTCGCATTTATAATATATGGACACTCTGAAATATTTATAGGTCTAGATAGATGTTAATATTAGCATAACATTGCGAATTAGCAAACCGACCGTTCCGGAAGGAAGACAAAATACCAGAGCGATAAAAACAACAAGAAAACTAAGACAGGTAAATATAGCACCAATGAAAAAGACAATTTAGGTAAGTGAAACTGTGCTTCAGTGTGTCACCTTCTTATCAGTTCAGCAAAGCATACGTGCGTATACTTATTTTACTTCGCAAAGACCGAACAAGAAATTCTTATCTGTCTGCAATTTCGTCTTCCAAAATTTTGTTTTTCTTCTTAGTTAGAAAAGGGACAAATTCTGTTTTCTCATGTAAATATTAGCCAATTATGTTCATCTTCAAGATCTCCTTTACAAAATTTTATTCCAAAATTCATCAAAATTTATTAAGCGGGTAATAATAACAGTATGGAAGAAAAAAAAAACAAAAATCGGGAGATAAATCCTCTCTTTTTTTGCATACACACTTAACAGGACAAAGGATCTGTCAATATTAACTAAAAAAAAAGAAGCGAAAACCAATTAGTAAATGGATAAAGATAAACACTACACACATTAATAACCTTGACGCAAATATTTGAAAACAAACACGATATTCTTGTAACTCGCAAACGTCAGCAAAAAAAATACAAACTTTAAAATCACCTGAGCTTGAAGAGAATAAAAACTCGTTCTCCTTTGAACAACTCAATATAAGGTGTTCTTAGTGGTATTGATAGTATTGAAACTCTTTCAATTACGCTTTAATAAAGAATGGGATAACTCACATGAATAAATAGTACGATTTTCAAAAGGACAGCCGCAACAGTTGAATTCCGTTTTAATTCGCGGAAAATGTAATGCTAGTGGTCTCGAAATACGGTTTACGTCATGTTGATACAACTAGACCTCTCCGCTGACTGATCACGACTGGATCATGGCCTTCGCAGCCAAATAAACCGCACCAATGTTGTTGTGTGTAATGCACGCGAAATTTTATGAGTAACCGGACTGCGCAGGAGTGCCAATGTTACGCTCGACGGAGGGGGGAAAAATAAACGAGCAGAAGGAAAATTGCATACTCCCGCTCTAATAGTAATAAAAATCAACTATTGTCTTAGATTTAAACATTCTTATTCTAACCTTCAGCAATCTGACCAGATTGCGAAAGGTGTGGGTTCGAATCCCGTCTAATACCTGGACCACGTGGAATATTTTCTAGTAAAACTTTCTTAAAATTATTATTTTTTATAGCCAAGTAGGCAAATGACTTTACCCCACCTGATGTTAAGTGGTGATAAAGTCCAAATGTAAAGATAGTTGGTACAGCAGTTTTAAGCTGCTACACCAACCATCCTTACCTCGCCGCCTGCAAAAATGCTTCTTTACGCCTCTCTTAAAGCACACCAGATCGTAGGAAGGAGAGACAACGTGCGCGGGCAAAAAATTCCACTTACGAATAGTACGACAAAGAAATGAGTCACCAAATTTCTTTGTTCATGTAGGAATAGTCGCCGCAGTAAATCGGTGGTAACGGAGGCCAGGGGGGCATTCGCCTAACGGAAATACTTTGGAAAACGCTAATGCTTACGATTTTATTTTCTTATTTCTAGCCACCTGATGTTTTCAAATGCCTCGCGCTCTTTTTTTTCTTTTGCATTGGTAATAACAATATTAAAAAAAATCAGCGTGAGGTATTTGAAAACCTTCGGCGGTCAGAAATAACAAAATCAAATCGAAAGCGTTAGCGTATTCCAAGGCATTTCCGTTAGGCCAATGGCCCCCAGGACGCGTGGTCCTCTGAAGAAAAGGTGATGGAGGGATAAGGAAGAATAACTCCTCTATCTCTCTAATAGTAAAAATAAAATAATAAATAAATAATAACAGATTTATGAATATAGCAGTTAAATGTTTAAAATAAAAAGATATACCTAATAAATGAAAATTCTTGATAAATTGTAAAGGTTCGTGAATTAATTCACGACTGCAGGATTCACAGAGCAGTGGCTATTAGGCCTATGAAAAAATATTAGGCCTATGAAAACATATTAGGCCTATGATGGTGTCTGGAAATATACAAAAACAGATTTTCAATTCCTTTCCCACAATAGGTTCGGAAAAGGCTCTCTTTAAAGGCTTAAACTACATAACTTTACTTAGGAAAGTTAGCAGTTGGTGCATTCTAAAGTGTTAATTTCCTCCCAGACGCTGGTAAGTATAACGCAAAGTTAAACAATGTTATTCATTTATCTTTAGCCTATTAAAACAAAGTCATGAATGCGTTACGCCATCCAAGCTAGGAATAAATGTATGGACTTCTACTTTGGAGAAAATTATTCACTTTTCACTGAAGATGTAGGCATAAACCTTTTTTCTGAGATGATGGTGTTTTGTAATGATGAGTTATAATTATAATAATGTGACTGGTGTGACATGCTGCAGGTGCATCAGCTTTAATAAGCGTATGCAAGGGCTGGTAAAACGAAAAAACCTACTTTTTATGTATTCTGTGACACAATAAAGACTTTTTTTTTGGGGTTCCGGTGGTTATTCTCCGGAGAGTTACCAAAGAACATTTATTTGAATCAGATTATTTAGATGGTTTAGCATTTTAGCATATGGATGTTTGTTTTTCGCTATTTGATACGAAAAACATAGGAGACTTTTATAAATTACATTTTATTATGTAATTTACATTGGGGTAAGTTAGTATTGTATTGTTTTTTTTTGTAATAGGTCATTTGATAATTTTGTGTTAGAGATATGTAAATTTAGATAGAGTGTAGTTTTAGGAATGAGTTTATAGTGTAAGTTATTATCTGTTATTATATTCTTTCAGTGTGTTTACGATGGTTTTACATAGATCGATAAATGAATTTAAGCATGATTTCTTTTGCATGAGCTCGGTTATAGTATAAGGATCGATTTGATGGTATGAGCAGAGGCGGGTATGTTCCGCCCGCGTACGTGTGTAGCGGGGGCATTCCCGTATTAAGTGGTTAAGCGTTTGGATTTTGTTCGAGTCACAGTTGCATTTGTCACTTGCGGCTATCTTGAACCGATGTATAAAGACTTGATGAAGAAGAATTTATAAGAACTTTTTTGCAAAAAATAATCTTGTACCAGTATAAAATATTTACAAGGAAAAGGCATAGGAATCTTCAAATGCTGCACTCAAAAAGTTTTTTAATTATAAAAAATAAGATAGTAACTAATAGTAGGTCTATACGCAAACTCAGACCAATTTATTTGGTCTGAGTTCGCAAATTGCTTTTGAAAGATGTACCTAAGTAATTTATTATAACGCCACTAAAATACTTGTTCCGAAAAGCATCGATGGTTAAGCAATCTCTTCAGTTACACACTGTAAATGTCAAAAAAAATGCCGGCAAAATGGAAGGGAACACATTAAAAAAAGAGGGAGAATAATTTAATTGAAGTCGTGAAGGATAGGGAGGTGACCTTTTAAGAGGGTAAAACTGTTAATCGAGATTTCCGGGAAAGCTACAACTTCTATCGAAAAGATTTCACATTACACTTTTTCCACCTAACCAAAAATATCTGCGAAAAATCAAAATAACACAATTTTTATTTTTCGATTGTGTCATTTTCAAGTCGTTTATTTTGAATTTTCACAGAAATTTTTAGGGTAATGTGAGAGATAGGGTGTGTTAAATAGAGGTTTTGCCTGCGTTACAACAAAAAAAAGGATAATGTGAAAAAACTGGGTAAGTGCGTGTCGTGTCATGCGCAGTGTAGGGTTACCTGTCGTTACCGCAATATCAGGGGCCTGACAGCTTTAGTTCCGTTTTCTTAGTTTTGGCGCTAGCGTCGCTGATATATTTATATAGCCTGTGGTTAACCCGTCGCCATGTTGTCACTATTGACAGTTTGACAGACAATTCAAAGTTTCAAACTTGCTACATATATAGTGATCTGTGCGCAATATATTTGAGTAGGAGACTTAATTATCTGTATCGGAAAAACGGAAATTAAAATATCTATTAATATCAAACTTTAATCTCAACTAAAATACCTAAACCAAAAAGACAAAATCAAACTGCGTCTCAAACTCGAAATCAATTCAAAAATTAGTAGTTTAAAGTTCAATATTTCACAAACGATCTCTGAATCGAAAAATAGTCTTAGAAACCCCTAAATAGCTTTAAAGGACCTATTCAACGATACCGTACATGTTGGGGTAGACGCCGAAAAAAAACATCCTCAAGTTACATGTAGGAGAGCTACCGTTTTTTTTTGAAATTTTACTCTACCTATTTGTTGGCGTGATTGACATACATAATCGTATCTCCACAAAATTACAGCTTTCTAGTGCTAACAGTCTTCAGGCAAAACCGGGGACGGATAGACAGACGGACATGACGAAACTATAAGGTTTCCTTGTCAGGACTAAGGAGTCCTAAAAAAAATACAAAAGTTGAAGATCTTTTAAATAATTACTTACTATTGATACTACATTGTTTTTTTTAGATAGGTAGGTATAGCTAGGAGATGTAGTTTTCCCGAAAATTTTGCTAAACCTTTTCCCCCCTTAAAAGGTCAAGAATCGTGACGACGCATTTGCATTTACTGAGAAAATTTTCCATGGTTATGTATATTTTAATTACAAACTTTTATTTACTTTTCTACTGTTGGTTTTCTATAATGGATTCTTGCAAGTTAAATTTGATACACTTCCTAGAATCCGATTGAGCTGAAAATTTTCACGCATAAGTACGTATATCGCGTGACAATGCAGTATTATGATGGCACAGAGCTGATCTGCTGATGGAGTTGGAAGGTGGTCATAGGCACACCGTAATAAAACGAAGTAACCGCATTGAGTTTGGGATTATTTGATTTGTGTTGATGTGTACTTTGTCTCTAGACGGTATCCAGAATATAATGATGGAGCTAGTAAGATCTGGATACTGTCTAGAGACAAAGAACTCATCAAAACGAATGTATGTATTCTAGAAATAAAACCGCGAAAATACTAGTCACTGAAATTACCAGCAACATCGCGGATCGCGATAGCGTCAGCTCACACCGAAACGCGACGCAACGCTGCACGCTGTACGGAGCGGCTCAAAACATAACATTATTTATTACGCGAAAAGATACACATTTCATGGTTTGAATTCAGAATACGCGTGGTGCAATGTATTCTGAATTCAAACAATAAAGATCGAGTGGTGCGGCACATTCTAATATGAGCCTTATGCAGTGCGGCTAAAGGGAGAAAGTGCAACGATATCTGCACTTGTTTCCAACCTATGTGCGTTACCCACGGTGGTATAAGTAGGTACTGCGCACTTGCGGGTGCTAGTTAATTCTCAATTTAACGAGACTTTTCTAGAATCCGTCGATTGGCGTAAATAAGCGCGATCAGCGACGCGCAGAGGCAGTTGATTTGAGTTTCAAGAGCGATTTCGGGACGAATACAAAGGCGATCAAAATGTAAGTGTTCAAATGCGATTGTTAAAAGACTTGTATAGTGAAGTACAATGTTTAGTGAGTGTATTTTGATTAACATTGTGTATTAATTGTGTTAAGTGTGTGGTGAATAAAGTACTGTCAAGCGTGAACTGGCATATAATTCCGAACCCCATCCCGACACGTATCAGTATAAATGTATTGTCAATAAATAATGGTAAATCAAGGTTTGATTATGAAGATATTAAATCCCAAATCATAAATAGATACTAAAAAGTTTATAATGAAGAAAAGAAAAAACAGCATTTATTACTTGTATAAGAAATATGATATTTATTTATCAGAATAAAATTATTTGTATCTTTTAATTTATTTTTATTAACAAGTAAGTAATAAAAGTTTGCTTAAAAAACTAATTTCACTAAGGTGAAAGCACGCAAAACCATGTGAATGTGAAACAGAGCTGAGTACTGTTGCCAATAAAACGAGGCGAGTGAGAGATATA